TGTCATGTGCGCGTGTGCTTTTGGTTCTCTTGGGTGTGTACCTAGGCATGGAGTTTCTGGGTCGTGTGTGACTCTATGTTAGCCTTCTGAGGGACTGCCAAACTTTTCCAAGGCGGCTGAGCCCTTTCATCTTCTCGCCAGCAGTGTGTGATCCTGGAGGTCACTGGCTTTGATGTGTTGGTTATAGAGGTGATTCTCTAGGTCGCGCTGGATTGCAGGCTGCCTTAGCAGAGTGAGGCGTGTCCTGCAGTCCCCGGGGGCATCTATGGGGCCTCATGTAGGGGAGCAGAGGTCAGCGTGGGGTGTGGTGAGCCAAGGGATTTGAGCACTTCCGCCTCGCCTGGTGACAGCCAGATGCCTGCTGACGTGGGGACAACAGTGAGGGACACGAGCTCTCAGCATCCACCCAGGACCTGGCATCACTGTTGGAGGCAGAGCAGAAGCAGGAACTGCTCAGACCTTTTCACCCCTGGGCAGGCCAGCCTGGAGCCCCTTCCTAGCCCAGTAGGTCAGGGACGTCCTTGGTATGTTTCTAAGATTACAGCCCAGGTCCATCCCTAGGATCCAGAATCAATCCTGCTCCTTTCCCTGCACGCTTTTTTTTTTTTTGCTGTACTGGGGTTTGAACTAAGTCCTCATGGACTCTTGTGCTGGCTCAGAAGTGACCTCTCTGGTGTCCTCAGGAGGCAAGACACATGGGCAGGAGTGGGGGCACAGATAAGCCACTGCTTATTTCTGGGGTGCCATCCCCCATCCTGAGTTCCAAACAGCCCTTCCCTGAATACTGGTCACAATGGTCTTCTCAGACACGACACTACACTTGGAGCCCCCCACCTGCTTCTCACGCTGTGCCCTCAGTGAGGTGAGGAGAGAAGTTTCCTAAGGGAGTCCGTTCTCATTCCAGGTTCCTGGGACCTGCCGGGTGTCCCCTGGGCTGCCTCTGCTTGCAGGACATTGAGGCCATGCCTCCTGGGCTCAGGGTCTGACTCCGCCTGCTGTTCCTCATTTTTATGTTCTTGTCCTTCCTTGTCCCTCAAGAATCCTGAGTGCTTGTACTTAGGACATGGGTAGGGAAATGGAGACAGCAAGTAGGGGCGGCTGGCGAGGTGCCCCAGGGGAGTGGGCGTGGACCACTGGAACTCAGATGTGGCAGCACCTCAGGCAGGCCAAATGCATTCTCAGTGTCACTGTGTGGACACAGCTTAAGAGACTGGGGCAGGTGATCAGAATGTGCCTTTTGAGCTGGGCGGGCGCTGTGGCTCATGCCTGTAATCCTAGTCCCTCAGGAGGCAGAGATCAGGAGGAGTGAGGTCTGAAGCCAACCGGGACAAATAGTTGCGAGACCCTATCTTGAAAAGACCCATCATTAAAAAAAAAAAAAAAGAAAGAAAAAGAATGTGCCTTCTGAAAGCTTAGGTGTGGCTGGGGTGACGTGTGGTAGCATTGTAGAGGCTGTCCCTGGCCTCTCCACTTGCCACCTGTTGTTGCTGCCTGCAGGTCTCGTGCAGTTGACAGACACAGGCACCCTGTGTGGGCCTAGGATGGCTGTCCCTCTTCTGTCCCTTCTCAGGTCTCCCTATTCCACGCTGCGGCCCGAGGAGACCTCTGAGGAAGGCTTCCGGGGATGAGACATTCCAGAGTGCTGGGCCAGGCCCCTAAATTGCAGGGGAGGCCCTGAGGTCAGTGCCCACAGGCTGTGCTTTGCGACTGGCCTTGGTTTGCTGTCTAACCCTGTGTGCTCACTCAGATGGCAGCTGCGGCCGTCTGCCCGGTGAATTCTCTCATCGGCCTTTTTCTTGACCCACCCAGGCTGCTGCTGCAGCCAGAAAGCCGGCAGGCCGGGTGGCAGTGGCCCACTCAGGCACCAGGGCTGCGGCTGTCACTGCTGTTGCTGTGCTCCCTTTGCATCAGAGCTGTGCACGGGGGTGCTAGGGAGAGTGGCAGACTCTTACCCTGGTCCCAGGTGAAAGCCAAGGCCCTGGTGTCAGATGGGGTTTTTGAAACAGTGAGTGCGCCCTGTGCGAGCCTCAAATTATAAATTGGAACCACTAATGTCAGCAGGGCTGACTGGTGCCAGGCCCTGGGCTGGGGGCTTACAATCCTCAACGCGTTCACTTCTTCCAATAGGCCTGAAGGACAAAGTGACGGGCACAGATCAATCCTAAGTGACTGGGAGAGACAGGACTTAAATCGGCAGCCTGTCCTCTTAATTCCCCGTCCTTAGACCGTCAGTCACCCTTCTTAGGGCGCCTGAAATTCACGCACACAAAACCGCCAGCAAATATTCGTTGTTACAAACATCCTATCCCCTGTTTGTCCACACTCCTTCTTGGATGGGCAGACAAGCAGGACTCGGCTTATGAAGTCCCCCTCCTCCTCATACTGTCACCTCTCCTTCCATATGGCCACATGACCTTGGGCAAGGTGCCTTGCCCCTCTGAACGTCAGTTTTCCTACCTGCTAAGTGGGCGGGCAGGCTCAGCCTGGCGTGGTTTCTGTTTAGCTCCCAGCCACGTCTTCTCTGTTTTAATTGAGCCACCTTGCAAACATTTCTAGAGACAAATTCTGATTTCCCACTTCTCTTAGAACCCAGTAGCTTGAGCCAAACTGAGCAGCCTAACACTGCCTCTTAGTCGGCGTGGGGTCTTATGGTCACTGTGCTCCCCGCATGGCTCATTGTCACATGGACACCTGACTGGCCCGGGGCCCTGTGGCCTGTTGCAGGACCCTGAGGACGCCTCAGGCCTGCCTGGGGTCACTTGAACCAGCTGTTCCTCTACTCTGAAAACAATTTTGTTTTCAACACGGTGGTTTCGTGTTCTCTGAGAGCCCTTCAGTGCCTCCTTTGCCAGGGCATCAGAGGCTGGCCGAGGCTCCCTTTGGCCTTGTCTGCCCTGTGAGCACTCCAGTGGGGCGTCTGTCCCCATTCTGCACTCCCTGGGCCCCAGAGTCCCACCTTACCTGGCTCAGGTCCAGCAGTGACATATGTGGGACCTGCCAAGGCTCTGTGCCTTAGCTTAGGAGGGCTTGTCTGATCACTGTGCATCTGTACCACCCCCTTAGCTTCCGGGACACTGTCACCTACCCCTTCTCTGTCCTCATAAGCTTCTGGGGAGGCATTTGTGAGTGACCTCCCCATTTCCTAGACACTAGGCTGGGGGACAGTCAGATCGCTCTCCTGAGGTCACACAGGCCTGATGTGATGGCACTGGGATTTGAACCTTATCACCAGCTTCCAGGCTGCATGTGTACACAGGAACCAAATGCTTCATCTGTCTCATTGCTTCCTGGAGCATGAGTGACACCCCTCCCGGGCATGTCCCCAAACCTGGCCCCAGGCCTAAGCTTTCAGTGAACACGTGCAGAGTGAAGACAGGTGGTGGCTCTGGCACGACACTAGAGTGCAGGAGGTAAGCAGCACAGGTCCCGGGTTTCAGAGGGGACGTGTCGCTGAGGCATGACGCAGGAAAGAAAAGTGGGAACCTTTTCCTGCTGACCTGAGATGGTGACCCAGGAAGCTGGGTCCCCAGGCCTCCCAATGTGAGTGGCACAGATGCCTGGGATCTTGGTGTGACCAGCAGGTTTGGTGCAGGGCCCAAGGTGGGTTTCTAACCTGCTTCCAGGGGACCCCAGTGCTGCTGTCTGAAGAGCACATTTGAAAAGGAGGACCTAGGTTACAAGTTGGCCAGCCACCACCGCGGGCCAAGTCTGGCCCTCCAGCAGTTTTTATAAATAAAGTTTTATTGGAGCACAGCCATACTCAGTTGTCACAGCTGCTTTCATGCCACAACAGCACTAGTGAGTGCACTAGTCCCCGTCCTGATCTCTTCTCTCAAGGTCAGCCTGTGTCACCCGTGGCCTGGGCACGCTGAGTGGAGATTTCCAGGAATGAACAGCTCGTCGGTTGACGCTGTGTGCCGTTCTGAACCCGGGCCTAAAGCACACGTCCTCTGTCCGCAGTGTCCTCACTGTGCTGCTGTGGTCAGGGACCAACTCGGCTGTCCCAGTGCCGCAGCGCCTGTGCCCCAGTGACCCTGCTTCACTCAAGAGCGGCCCGAGGCAAAGTTCTGCGGCAGCAGTCGCAAGTCTGTTATCAGTTGCTGTTCGGCTCCTACCGGGCCTGTTTCAAAAGCTGAACTTTGCCCCGGCTGTGTGTGCGGGAGGAAGCACACTGCTCACGGGTTCAGTGCCGTCTGTGCTCTCTGCATCGACTGGGGGGTCTTGCAATCCACCCCCCACCGCGAATAAGTGGACAGGTGACTAGACTAGTTACAGTAGAGACGGGTGGGGGCGCAAAGCTGAAAGCATTTGTGGGCTGGCCTTCTATGGAAAAAGTTTGGCAGACCTGTTCTCGTCATCACCTGGGTTCTGCAGGACGGGCAGTGTGGCTGGGTGAGCTCCCATGGCTGTGAAAATAACGACTGCAGTTAGTGTCTGAGTGCCCTGGGTGCTCAGCTCCCTGGCTGGCTCCGTCCTGGGTAGCACTGCCTCCCATTTTATGGGGTTAGGGAGACTGAGGCTTGTGGCAGTGCTCACTGGGCAGAGTCCCTGGTCTAGAGTATAGAAGAGGCTGAGCTGGCAGGAGCTTGTACCAGGCACCTGTCACAGAGCCTGGAAGGGGTTGCTGTGGTTTCAGTCCATCTGAGGTGACCACGAGTCTTCGTGTCTCATTCATCCTTCCGTCACTTAATCCAGGAATCTCTGCAGACTGAGCTGTGAGTGCAGAGCCGTGCTGTATCCTAAGAGGACGTAGGACGTGGGACGTGCAGGGGTCCCAGCCCTGCTGAGGCCACACCAGCAGCTACCCAGGGAGCCAAGCACCTTGGGGGATACAGGGGCAGTACGGGGATGCAAGCAGGCAGGACTGCCTGGAGGAGGAGTGCGAGTTGTGCCAGGGTCAGCTGGGCAGAGGAGGCCAGGAAGGGTTCTCAGAGGGAGAGGACCAAGGTTGGAGGTGGGAGACACTGGGATCTGCCAGGATTGGCACAGTTCAGGACCCAACCTGCGTTTCTGTTATGCTGGGTTCGGGGGCGGGTGTTACAATTGGAGACCAGTGTGTGACTTAAGTCACAGCAGAGCCGCAGGTGCCAGGGGACCTGAACTTTGTCCTGGGATGCAGCTGAAATCACAGATGGAGGAGGGTTCCTCTCTGCCCTCAGTCACTTCCAGGAGAAGTCTCCATGTTAGCTGTTGCTTCCTTAGGGCGTCGCCCCAGCCCCGCCAGGCTCCTCATCCTTTGGGTTCTGGTGAGCAGCAGCCTCCAGCCAGGAGGCCACGGCTGCTAACCTTGCATGCATGTTCACATTTGCTTATTTGGTGGTACTGGGGTTTGAACTCAGCACCTCATGCATTCGAGCCATGCCTGCAGCCCTTTTTCTTTTTCTTTCTTTGCTTTTTACATTATTTTTCAGATGGGGTCTTGCAGTTTTTTCCCAGGCCATCTTCACATGGTGATTCTTCTACGTGTGCCTCCTGCATAGCTTGGGTCACAGGTGTGTACCACCATGCCTGGTTTGCTGGTTGAGATGGGGTCTTTTTTTCTTTTGCCTGGGTTGGCCTTGAATGGTCATCTTCTGGATCTCTGACATGTACCACCACGTCCAGCAATTGCCATGGACTTTAAAAATGAGGGCCTGGTCTTTAGCCATGGATTATAATTTCCTTTGAAAACATGCTTCAAACATACTCCATTAACAAAAATGAGTGAGAATGAAGGGGGTCCTGGATGTAGCCTGGGTCAGGAAGGTTGTCCTCAGCAGGTGGGCTCGGGGCCTTCTCTTAGCATTCTACCCTTTCTTGGGACCCTGGGAGCCCCGACTAGGGGTGGAACTGCTCCTCGAGCCAAGAAGGGGGCAGGGCAGGGAGCTGGTGACACCAGGGCATCCCCAGTCCCCTCTGTCCCAGTATCTTTTGTGTCTCCCTCGTTGCCTCTCCTTCGGACTCATCGGTCATCCCTCTTCTCTCTCCTTCTTTGTCACCCGTAAATCTCTCTCTTCGAGGTCTCTAATCTGTCTCCCCTGTTTCTCTCCTGACTGCATCTCTGCTTCTGCCACATGTCTTCCTCCCCATCTCCATCTGTCACCCATGTGTGTCTTCCCATCCCCGTATCTCTGCCCCCATCCCATGTCTCTACCCACCTTGTCTCTGTCTCTCCTGCTTTGTCTCCCTCTCCCTGTCTTGTTTCCCCATCTCTGTCTCCCCTGGCTGGCTCTCTGTCTCTGTCAGTGTCTGCCTTCTTCCGCCCCAGCCTCCTCACTTCCCCCTCCGCCCCCGCCGGTGCACACACTCACCAGTCCTTCCTCTGTCCTGCTTCCTCTGGCTGCCAGTGACATCCTGCCTCACCCCGCCCCGCCCCGCCTCTCACCCACAGAGTCTGGGCCTGGACCAGGCACCTGCCGGCCTGGCAGAGGGTGGAACAGCCGTTTCCCAGGTGAATGGGGGTCTGGGAGGTCAGGCACCCAGTGGGGCCCCTGACAGACCTGGGCTGGGAAGAAAGAGGAAGCCTGGGCCGGCAGTGGGAGGGCAGAAGGCTGCATGGGGCTGAGTAGGTTTGGCTGTCGGGGGTCCCTTACTCTGTGTCTGGGGATCCCAGGTGCCCACGCACAGTGGGTGCCTTTGCCCTCCAGTGTGCACCATGGCCAGGTGACAGTAGGCCAGCAGTGTGGATTTGTCTGTGAAGAGTGCTGCAGGAGGAGCAAGGTTAAAAGTTACATAGATGGTAACTGGGTACCATCTAGGTACCCAGTTTCCTAGATGGGGAAACTGAACCCAGAGTCACAGTGACGTGGTCAGTTTTGAGAGAGAACGGAGCTGGGTCTCAGTCTCCCAGGAGCTGGAGTAGTGTTGGGGTCAGTGGTGTTCAGCTGGGAGAAGGGGGACTGCAGGTGGAACTCCCTCCTAAGAGGTGATGTCGCCTCTTGGCGGCCTGGCTCTGTGCCCTGCCAGGGCTCTCCTCCCTGTGGACCTCGGGCTCTGACGCTTTCCAGGCGAGGCCACCACACAGGTGAGGCCGCAGAGGTCAGGACCAGCGTTTGCAGGGCAGAGATGCCTGCGCTCACGCTCGGGGGCTGGCGGAGACCTTGCGTCCTGTGAGCTCCGCACGTGGGCAGCAGCTGGAGAGGCCCCTTCCAGGCCTGGAAGAGCTGGAGCAGGGCTGGAGCGCGGGCTGTGAACCGGCACCGGTGCGAGCCTCCTGCCACCCGTCCTACCGTGAGCTCTCAGGCCAGGGCCTGGCCGCTCTGGGCCCAGGAAGGGGAGCAGCGCCACCCTTGGGTGGGTGGGAGCCGGGAGGCCAGCTGAGCTGACTTTGCAATGCTTGTGCCATGGTCACTGCCATCCTCATCCTTGTCACTCACCCTCCCTGCCGGTGACATTTCTGCTCCGGCCCAGGTTGTGCAGTGCGTGCTTCTGCTCTCCCTGCCACGTGGGCCCAGCACTGCACACAGGCCGCGTGTGTCCCTGGAGACCCGCTCAGTCCTCAGAGCCTCACCTCTGGCCTCTGACCTCCCACCTCCCGGTCCCCAGGTCCCAGTGCTCCTCCCTCATCCCGCGCTTACTTCCTTCTGCCTAGTACCCAGATACTCATGCCAGCCTCCTGCCCCACGCTCCCGTGCCTGACTTGTTGGGCTTTGCCGGCACCAGTAAGGTCCCTGGGATGGTTCCCCGACATCCTGCCTTCCTGGGTGCAAAGCAGATGTCAGAGTGGCTCCCAGGAAGGCAGGAGGGGTGGAGCCCTGGCGCACGGCCCTCTATGGCCGTGGTCTCAGGGACAGATCCAGGATCTGCCACTGAACGGGCCGCGTGAGGCCTTTGGCCATTTTAAAAGGATGCTTCGCCCACACCTGGGGACTTTTGTGAGGGGACAGCCGGGTGTCCTTTGCTTACCAACCATTGAGCGCCTTCTGTATGCTGTTGTCATTTCGTAGTAGCTATCGAGCCCCTTCTGTATGCCATGCTCATTTGTACCTCAGATAACTCTGGCTCAGTGTGGGTGCAAGAGTCCAACAGAGAACATGACAGACCCTTGTCCCCACTGTGGAGCTGACATGTGAGGGGAAAGATGGACGCACCAGGAAGCTTTAAGTGCCAGCTGGGAAGGAGGTGGTCCTGGAGTGCCAGCAGCTGATAGCCACCCTGTTCCTGTTGTCTTCTTCACTAACTACTGGGGGAGGAGACCGGGAAGCATGTGACAAGGAGGCTTGTGTGGTCAAAGTCCTAATACCCATGGCGACGTTCGAGAATGCCCCACACATCATCAGATGTGAACCAGGAGACTTGTTGATGACTTCCTGGGAGCCAGCCCTCCAGGAGGGGCTGCTCTTGTCCCCGCTGTGCCCCTCTATAGGCCAGGGAGATGGGCATAGGGTTAGAGCACCGAGGAGCAGGATTAGAACCTGGATCCTCACCTTCCTCGGGGGCTCAGGGCTCAATAGGAGAGTGAGGTGGTGAGACTGGGCAGGGCGGCCTGGGTGGGAGGGGGCTTGGACCCAGGTCTCATAGCCCCTTGTGTGGCCCCGATGCAGAGGGTGGGAGAGTTCATGGCTGTGGGATCCGAGAAAGCCAGGCGCACGAAACTGCCCTTGAGTGGGTGGAGGGTCGGCCACTCCTCTCCTGCTGCCCCACCTGCTCAGGTGGTGGGTGGTCAGGAAGTCGCAGGCACACTGTGGCCATGGCTGGGAGCCAGCGTTCCGCGGGGAGGACGCCCCGTGTCTGCCCCTTCATGGTTGCCCTTTCCCTGTTCTGTTCTCAGGGTACCTCTACATGAGGAGGGAACGAGGTGGACCCAGGAGAAGGGCTGATGAGGACTCGAGGAACTTGGGGGTGCTTCCAGTCACCTCTCCAATACCCTCTGGCCAGTGTCTGAGCAAAAGGTGCCCCTGGGCACCATCTTTATCTTTGTGTGCTGGGCTGTGAGCAATAGCGGCTCTCAGGTCAGACACGCTGGAGTTAGAACTTCTGCCGCCTTGGACCTGACTGACAGCTGCTGTCTCTGGTCCTCAGTTTCCTCAAACCAGGGTCCCAGGGATGCTGCGAGGATTGCAGATTGGTCGTGTGGCACTGAACACATGGCGGCCTCAGTGATTGTCAGCAAGAAGACTTTTTACAGCTGGGGAAACTGAGGCTCAGAGACGCTAAGAGGGTCTCCATGGGTCCCTGGCAATGAACACACATATCTGCAGGTAGAAATACTTTCCCACAAGGTCCCAGAGCCCTGATGTTTAGGAAAAGGCTAGTCACCGCCCCCCACCTGGCCCTTCTCCCTCCTGTGGCTCCGTGGGGTTTCCTCGTTCTGAGTACCTGAGAGGTCTTTGGGTTCTCGCTCTTCCTGCTTCAGGAGCGGTGGTGGGAGGGGGGTCTCTGCTGTGTCCATGAGGGGAGCTGTGCTGCCTCAGAACTGGGGCCTCTCCCCAAATCCCATTCCTACCCCTATTACATGCTCAGCAGAAGCCTGGTGTCTCTTGGGGGAACTACAGAAGGAAGGCCAGGCCGTCTTGGGAACTTCACAGGTGGTGTTTTTTACTTGCTTGCTCTCCCCCAGGCTGGCCTTTCCCTCCTAGCCCTCAGCCATCACAAAGCATCCTCCACAAAGAAGTGGGAAGGAAGCCGGATGCAGGGGGGAGGGGAAGCTGGCCAAAGACTTTCTAAGCACAAAGTGCAGGTCACCTTCTGACCACAGAGGATGACATGGGGCACTTCCTTTGTGGAGGGGACACACATCTCAGGGCAGAAGTGAGAGTGCTAAGCGGACCCCAGCGTCACCCCAGGTCTTCAGTTAAGACTGGAAATAAATGCTGCTTAGTTTTACTAACACAGACTGGTGTAAAGTCATGCTGGGGGCTTGGCCTTACTGTGACTGCTGTGCCTCTAAGACTGAGCAGAGGTGTCCTGGTTCAAAATCACTGAAGGTAGAAGACAGAGCAGTGTGTTGCCTCGGGTAATTGGCAAATGCAAAGGCATGTCACCTTCAGGCACAGCCGTGTCCAGGTGCCACAGTGCATGCTCCCTCTTTCACTGTCCATCTCTCAGAAGGGCGTTCTCCTGTGCTGGCCTTGTTGGGCGTGCTGTCCCTGTCACAGCTCCAGGCTTAGCGATGTCAGCTAGAAGACAGATCCCTGGAAACCCCACAATTGTGCTCCCCCGTGTGGGGGTCCTGTGCTTATGTGTGAGCACTGCAGCCCCCTCAGGCCTGTCACTGGACAGGGGCACAGGGTTAGCCCCTTCTGGACATGATCCTGCTCATGATCCTGAGCAAAGGGACAGTGCCCACATTGTGGGGGAGCAGAACTGAGAGGAGAAGGCAGAGAAGCAGCAGAGTCAGGAGCAGTAGGAGTTCTGCCTCTGCCTGTTCTGCTCGCTCACTCTCACCTTCATGCATTTAGCTGTCTCGCTGTTCCACAGGTGAAAGCGAAGCCCAGAGAGGGCCTGAGGTCACAAGACTGGAGGTGGGCATTCCGGGCAGCTCTGTTTTCCTTAAGACCCATTTCCTTCCTCTACTACCTGGTACCCAAGGAAACAAGGATGGAGGGCCTCGAGCAGTAAAGTGCAGTGAGCAGCTCAGGGTGCACTAGGTCTGTGCTAAGTGAGGAAATAAAGAAGGGGTTGGAGCGCCCTGCTCCTTGGCAGGCGAGGCTTTCTGTGAAGTGGGGACATGGGGGACGGCGAAGGGAGGCGTGGGGGCTGTGGTCTCATCTGGGTGACCCAAAAAGGTGATGCCCAAGTTGGAGGTGACAACCAGCACCCAAGATCAGACTGGGGATGGGAACATGAAGGTGTGAATGGGACTCCTGGATCACAGGCAAAATCTAGCGTCTGCAAAAAAAAATGTCAAAGGCATCCAGGGACGGCTTCAGGCACGGCTGACTCCAGAGGCCCAACTACTGTCTGGGTTTGTCTCCATCTCTGGGCTCTGCCTTCCCACATTGGCTTTGTTCTCAGGCAGGCCCTGGCTAGAGGGGGACCCCACTCCCAGCCAATGCCTCCGCCTGCTTCCGTTGCTCTAAGTGGGCTCTTGTATCCATCCTTGAGCCAATCCTGGGCCTGGGGGTGGGGAGTTGTGATTGCCAGACCTGGGCCATGTGTCCACACCAGGAGTCCAGGGTGGACTGAGAAGGAAAATGGGAAAGTCAGGGGTGCACAGCGCTGTCAGGGCTGCTAGAGGTTCCCCTAGGCCGGGGCGCAGGGGCCCATGACAAAGGCTGAAGCTGCCGAAGCGTGGAAAGCGTGGGGCACCACATGGGACAGGCCAGGATGAGAACAGGATGGCCAGGCAATGAGGAGGTTGTAGGCGAGCACACTGGACAGACAGGAAGTGTGAGTCGCTGGTCAGGGCTCAGGGCGGGGGCCATGTGATCAGTGATCCTGAAACTTAGCGAGGTGCCAAGCTTGTGCCCACGCAGTCAGTGCCAGCTGCCCAAGTTGGAGGCCAACAGG